AGCAGATAGTTTCCTTAGAAATGTGATATTTGGTGCCTCTTCAAAGCCAATGTGCCTGTATTTGGAGAAGCATTCAATGAGGCAGAAAACATGTGGGAATATTTACTAGTCATGAGGTCATAGAATTGGCACAGAGACCTGCCTGGTGGTCTTTGCTTTTTCATTCATTCATTCCACAAGTACTGGTTGAACACCTAACATATGCTAAGCACTGTTCTATGCATACAGATATAGTAGTGAAGAAGACGTTTATAATACTTGCCTGCATGGAGTTTATGTTTTACCTATGGACTAAGAGAGATAATGAGAATATGTTTATCAGTTAATTTTAGACAGTGAGGAGTCATATAGAAAAGTCGGGGAGGGGCAGAGCCACAGGCATATACACAGTGCCCCATATAGGTGTGACTTTCTTATCTTAGAAACCTGTCTCTAAAGAAGCGAGATAATTTAGCTAATTTTTCCAATATCCTAATTGTAACACTGGAAACTCCATTATTTTGAAGTTTTATCATGTTGCCAGTGAGGGGCTTTGGTAAGGTCCATATTTATGCTCCTCTTGCCCCTGGGATGCTTATGAGGATGCAGGGAAGCTTGAAAGCATGGCAAAGATGCTTGGTTGCTTGGTATTTCCTGATGCTGGTCATATCTCACTAACAGCACAGCCCTGACTTGGTGACTTTGGATAGCATGTATAGCTCCATTTTTTTTGTATGATATTTCATATTTGGTGGGTTCAATAGACTTTGGACTCCTATCTGTGAGACTCATTCATTTCTTAGGATCAATGGTAGAACTAAATAGATGAAGTAGAACTGGGCACAAAATTTAGAGTGAATGTCCTTCATAGACCTGGACAGGGATCTAGCTATAAAATCCTAGTCTAAAAGTCACACTAGAGATCTGCTATAATAATGAGAATTTAGACCGATGAAGCATCAAATTGTGTGCATAACAAAGATAGGAAAAGGCTAAACAGAGAGGGCAGAACCTTCAAAATTCTTGTCTACCCCTTTAATTTGTGTGATGTCAAGAGTGTGGTATTATTTTCCAGACTTGAATTTTTTAATAGGTGTTGACCCTTTCTGGATGCATTCTAAACAACTTGACTGTATATATTTTGGGTTTCTGGGCATTTAAAAGTCAGCTCCATATTTTCACTTATCCCCAAGTACCTAACGTGACAGCTAAGAAAGACTAATATCAATGTCATTCTATCATGATCAAATTAATAAATATCTTTTATAATATTTTAGGAAGAGGAAAAAATCCTGTGTAAATGTTTATGATCTCAGTTTGGATGCAGATTTAAGATACTTTTCCTAAGTGCATCTAACTTTGGAAATGTGATAGATACAAGTGATTGATATCACCTTGTATTTGTCAATGGATTTAGGATTCTTTTTCAAGACTAGCAATCAAAGAAAGATATCTTATGTGGAAAGAGGAGGCAAGTCAAATAATATCCTGACTCTAAGCTTTGGGTAGTATCTTGTCTTTTCTGTTCACAAAGACTAGACAAACATGATTAAATACATCATCATTTTTTCCCTTTGGGTACCAGGGACCCAAAGGGACACTTGACCACTGAGCCACATCCCCAGCCCTGTGTTTTTTTGTTGTATTTTATTTAGAGACAGGGTCTCACTGAGTTTCTTAGTACCTCGCTTTTGCTGAGGCTGGCTTTGAACTCGTGATCTTCCTGCCTCAGCCTCCCAAGCCGCTGGGATTACAAGCATGTGCCACCACACTCAGCTAAATACTTCATCTGTAAGGGGGTAAACTCAGAAATTATTTTTAAAAAATCTGTCAAATCCAGAGTCTGTACAGATTTCTTCTAATAATTTGGACACTCCCTTACATAGTCGCACTTCAACTCACCAGTAATTTGTCAAATTAAGAAATATCAGAACAACAGATTCCTTTTAATATAGATAGATCTGCTGTAAAATCTGTTCAAAATATCATTAGAATTCATCATACTGTTCAAAAAAGGGGCCGAAATAAGAGTGCAAATAAACTTCCTTCACATTTTAAACAGAATGTTGTTTCCAATTTAAGTTAGAACCTTAGCATCACAGGGAAACTCATGTCATTTTTTTTAACTATAATTGTTAAAAATGTTACAGAAGCTTATGAAAGACTAATACATCTTTTTATTCTTACCTATTTTGCCATAAGAGACATGATTAAAATGACAAATTCCCAAATAACATTAATAATGCATTTCCCCTTTATCCAAAGCAAATGTATTTTGCTCCTAAGAGATGTTTAATTCATTCCCTTTTTTGGAAAGAGAAGGGAGATGAAAGGATTTACAGTTAGAACTGGCATTTAATGAAAGATACATATTTGACTTGTGATTATGAAATAATTGCTGTGGTAATTTTGAATTTGGAGAGTGGTACTGAAGTTTGATATGAATGAAAAGCAAATTGTACTTCTGTTAAAATTCAAGGTTACCTATCTGGTATCGTTAAAAGTTACTGCCTATTATGCCACGAAAATAGTGGAGCTTGTGTTAAGAAATATATAAACATTTATTTTATATATAAACACATATATAAACATTTCCTCTGGGAAGTACCGGATCTACATTTATAGAGTGAATTTAAAATAACAGCTAAACTGCCACAAAACTTGGACAGACAGGCTTAGGATCCCTTCTGCTATTGTGTACTCTTCCTCCACTGCACCCCCACCCCATCTATCAATGGAATGGGGGTGTGGTGGAGGAAGATACCTCTGCACTGTGAAGACCAGGGGCTGGTAGATGAGCCAAGGTCTCCTTTAGGCTTTCTTTTCCTTGGTTTACTTTTCTCTAAATGCATCTTCCCTTGCTCCCAGGGTGGCAATAAGCCCTTGAGGGAAGTGAGATGGGAGATGAGCAGGAGAAAGAGAAAAGCAGTAAACTCTTATCTAGCTCTTCCAGCTCTATGTGGTCCAACGTAGGCTATCAGGCCACTTTAGAATTGTTCACCAAAGCTCCAGCAAGTCAGAGTATGCATTTACCTGGCTTTCCCCTCTGTGTATTTCTTCACTCCCCTAGCTTTTGGCCAGAGCAAGACTTCATAGGTACTTTAAAGTAAGACATCAAAGTAAGGATTAGAATTCCAAGAGTCTTTAGTCAGTTATGAAGCAGTTTCCAAGAAGTTCATTATTTTTTTTTCCTTCAGATAATAGTGAGTATGATCAGCTATTAACCACTTTAGTTTCTTAGCTTTTTGGCTGATGAGGTCTTTGGTGGTGGAGGTGGGGGGTGCTGTTTTAAACAACTGAGAAGATTTTGAAGACTCCTGACCCCTTTGGCTTCTTCCTGACAAGTGATGAACAAAAAAGGGTCTTTTTCCATGGCTGAACTCCATGAGAACAACCTATGAAGCTTACAAAAATGTTTATAATTACAGTGACTTTTAAATCTGACACATAGAGGAATAAAAGATAAAATCCTATAATGAAGAATCACTGGCAGGTTATAAATTAAAAGTTATGATTAACCAATTTGTTTGCCTAACATGTAAGCTGGAAGACTACTAACTGATTTTAAGACAAAGTACACCCCTCAAAACGTGTTACAATTTAGTATGTAACACTAGAAAACCTTTAAAAGGAAAACATTAATAATATTTGGTGGGTTTATTTAATATCACCTAAAGTAGTAAGGACGGTGGGAAAAGTCTCTTGTGTCTTCCCACCAGATGAATACAGGAAGAAATTGATAGAAAACTGACATTCCTGACCTTCAAATGCTGAATACTATCTTACTGCTGACAAGGAGAAAGCAGAGAACAGAGCCCATAGCTGACTGCAATAGTTTTTTTTTTTTTTTTTTTTTCCTAAACGTGACCAGCACTAAGAATGCTATTTTATAGGAAGGAATAGAAGAAATCTCACTGGGTGATGCCATCTAATTACAGAATTAAAATTGCTTTAGAATCTTCAAAGCAACAAGGATCTATAACATATTCGTGTCTCCTTATAAGCCATGTACCTTCATAATAAATCTAAGCCTTCAGAATCAAGAGTAAAAATAACCACATCTAAAAATTATAAAACTAAATAATAATCATGAACAAAGTTGCTCAGAAAGTGGGCCTACCCTGCTTTTTATTCAAATGGAAATATTTTCTTTTCATTGACAGATTTGTAGGCCCATTCAATTTAATGCAGGAAACACTGCTACTTTAAAATCCTATAGCTGAGGTTTAGCTGTACTCAATTTGTTTACATCAAATGCAAAAATGCATTATTTTTTATACATATTTAGATGTATTAATGCTTTAAACTCTGCTCTTAAGTACACAGTTGCTTTCCTAAGGAGGTTTTCCATGAGTTATCCAGTAGAGATAAAGTTTGAATAATATTTTGAATTTCCTTTCCCTTTTGGGAACTTGCATGCTTTTGTGTCATTTTTTTTTTTTTTTAAATCAAAGCTTCAAAAACACTGAAGTTGTAGGCTAGAGACATTATCGTGCTGGAAAAACACAGGTGACTCTCACGGCATTCGAAGAATCTTAATCACACCTTCCTGGGAAAGCAAAGTCCCAGAATTTTACAAGAGCTGCTCAGTGGAAGCAAATTCAGGTTCAAAGAGATGAGAAGAAAGGAGTGACTTTTTTATTCAGCATGCATGATCTGCTACTGCAATTTCCATCCCCCTTTTCCTGCCAGGTGTCTCAGTAAAGAAATGGATGCTGCTGTGAAAGTCATCCGGCTGAAAACAGAGGTGAGAGTGAGTAAATGAGTGAGAGTCGAAATAAATTCAAGTCATTTCACAAAGGATTTTTGCTATGATGGATTATAAAATAGATTTTCACAAGTTGGCAAGTTTTTCCAAAGTCTAGCTTCTGACTACTGTTTGAACAAGTTGTGTAGAATGGAGTCTACACACTATGAAATAACATGATTTTTTTGTACCAGGTTAGAATTATTTAGGATCACCAAATAACAGGATTGAAAAGTAGGTAAAACAGCTGAAAAATCCAACAGTCTGGTCTAACCTGGTATGCTCTGTCTCCTCACAGCCAATGCTCCATCAGGCGGCTTTGTCTGGCTGGCGGATTTAGTGTAGGGACTCTCATCTGCAAAGGTACAATGAAGGGTTTGGTTAATTTCCATCAGGTTTCTGGCACAGTGAAGATCTTTAATGGATTGCAATCCTTCTGCCAGAGAGAGGTGACATGGCACAGTAGAAAGAGTTGATAGACCTGAGTCCTGAATTTGGGTGAACAGTGGGACAAGCTCTGAAAAATGTTTTGGACATCAGCTTCTTCCCCTGTAAAAGAGGGTAAATTTTTCATTTACCACAGGATTGTGAGGTTCAAAAGCTATAAATGCACATGAAGACATTTAAAAAAAATTGTCAGAATGCAAATGTGGTATATAAATTACTTGCCTGTCACCTACATTCATTGATAAATAAATATCAGTGAATATGTAGAGCTGGAGGACAAAGAAGGAATAAAATGGCTCAATGGGCACTAAGAATAAATCAGGTAGAAGAACAAAGGAAATGAAAAGAAATGCAATATTTCAGATAAGCGGATGACAGAGCATTAGTATCGCAGGAGAATAAAGAAAGAGTTAGTAGGTTATTCCTGGCAGTGTGAATTGGCATCCAGGGTAAAGCAGAGGGACAGGGTCATTCAGAGGTGAGACCAGAGAAGCCAGTCTGGGAACAGGGCAGAACCATGGTGTGGAAGAAGAAGACGGACATTGCAATAAGCTGACTGGCCTTCTTTTAGAAAGAGATGAAAACAACCTGCAGAGCAATAAAAAGAGCAACTGAAAAGACAGAAGGTCTGAAGTTCAGTGTAGTGGGAGTTAGGCAAGAAGCTGAATGATTAATACACTAAGTGACAAGATCGTAGAGGAAATGGGTCTATTAAATTATAAGTACAGTGATTGTTTTAGGATTTGCTCTGTCTTGGAATACAGAAGAGTGATCTAGGATGGCAAATATTAGGGTTAAAATATAGGAAGGAATGATTCTTCCTAGCTTCTGTGGAGGCATTTATATCAAGTAAGAGATGTCAGAGTAAAAAATCTTCAGTTTCAAGAATAGGATGTATACGGCTTAGTAAATATAATGTAAAGTAATTGCCCAGCATATTTAGTCCAGCTAAATGACCCAAGTGCCACCCTGGTCACACTGTGACGCTTGTTTGTTGTTGTGTAAACAGGAAATTATTAAGGAATTTTACAAAACTGTGTTGCATATGACAAACTATTAAACACAATGAATATTTAATCCAGAAACAAAGTTGTATCATCAGAGGACATGAATTCTCCCACCTAGGTGGCTAGTGTTTCAAAAGTGAGGAATTCATTTCCTCTTTAGGATGTTCTTCTGGTTGAAATGATTCATGATTTCTTCATAAAACTAACAAGGTCTTTAGAAATAATGGCAAAAAATAAAGATTAACACGGGTTTAAACTGCAATTAACTTAAAAAAATGACAGGCACACTCTTTCATGTTTATATTCCATTTGTTGCCCAATTCTTTACATTCTTCCAACCATAAAAGAACTACCAGCTTTCAGATACTAAATCAATTAATTGCTTCACAATTGCTTTTTTTTGGGGGGGGGGCTACTGGGGATTGAACCCACAGGCGTTTTACCACTGAGCCACATCCCTAGCCCTCTTTTTATAATTTTTTTAGAAACAGGGTCTTGCTGAGTTGCTTAGGGCCTCAATAAGTTGCTGAGGCTGGCTTTGAACTTGCGATACTCCTATCTCAGTCTTCTGAGTGCTGGGATTACAGGTGTGTGCCACTGTGTCCAGCTCACGATTGCTTTTAAAGTAGCATCTCAGGCAGGTCTCTGACTCTTTTCTTTCCAAACACAATTTAGAGCATAATCAAAAACCACAGAACAAAACCTAAGCATTAGATTTCAAAGTCTCCCTTTGCCCATCATTGACACCTGGGAATTTTAGTGCTTTTTATCACAGTGTTGATTTAATAGCCAAGCAATATGTAGCACCTGTAAAAACAGACTCTATGTAAAAATCTGAGATTCTTCATAAGACTTCTTTAAAAATGTATTTTCTTTCATTATCTAAAACTTTGAAAGTGTGTGGTTTTTAAAAGTACAGAGCTCTGAGCAAAGTGATACATATCACAACAACCAGGTTTAGAGGTGGCATCTCAGAAATTTAAAGGCTTTCCTCAGTTTTCAATTTGTGAAGGTTACTGCCCATTAAAGTCTTAGTTTGAATGTAGTGTTGAATTTTCTTAAAGGGCAGTAAGAGATGTGCCCGGGAGACTCTAAAGTTATCTGTACTTGATGCTCTATTTTAAGGAAACATTCCTTTAGAAATTTACCCAGCTTGCATTACGGATGTAGTCAACCCTGGTAAAATGGTTTTCTCATTTATATTTGAAAGCAATTTCCTTGATTTAGAGCTGAAATAGTCTAGTTATGCACATCCTTAAAAGGTTGAAACTGAATTATAGATGGCCACCTGGCCAGCATCTACATCACCATCCCCCACCCCTCCTCCAGTCCCAGCATCCAGTGTCCTTCCTGAGCACAGGCAAAAGTAAATAAGTATCTAGAAGCCAAAAGTTGTCTTGGTCAAAAGACCAGAATGAAACAATTTCGATATTATCTAAGAATAGCTTGCCAAAGTGAACCATGTTGAAAGCAATAGTTCTTAATGGAAGTGTGTGTGAGGGGGAAGCTTGGCAGCATCTCTCAGTAGAGTTAAGGAGACCATAGCAACAGAGAAGTATGGTGCAAGGTAACCTTGGTTTTCAGAGAACTTGGTATATATATATATTTAGAGAGAGAGAGAATTTTTTTAATATTTTTATTTTTCGGTTTTTGGTGGACACAACATTTTTATTTTATTTTTATGTGGTGCTGAGGAACCCAGCGCCCCGCGCATGCCAGGCGAGCGCATTACTGCTTGAGCCACATTCCCAGCCCCTATATTTTTATTTTAAACATAGAAAAGGCAACATGGCCCTTTTATAAAAAGTTGTTCATCATAGAATGGATTTCCACTCTTTTCATTGATTTACTAAAAGTCAGGTTTTGATTATCTTAGCCAGTCAAATAGAAATGGAGTAGGATGCTGAATGAGTCAATGGCTTCTGGCTCCATAATAGGATTCCAAAGGAGAGAAATGTCCAGGGAGTATTTTTAATCCTCTGCATGAATCATGGAAAGCTATGGAGGTTTCTATCATGGTCTTTCCTTGTGTCCTTGAGTGGATTTGTAGATACATACTAAAGTCATATACTTATAAGAGACCATCTAAACTACTCTTTCATTTTATGGCAAGGTGTGGGGCCCCGAGAGATAAGTTTAAAGAAGGACACATATTTAAAGTGAATCTAGACTATATATCTTTATTCTCATGTTCTTTCTTCTTTATCTAATTTCCTCTTGGAGAGAAAAGTTGATTTCTTAGGACATTGGCTCACATGTTGCTGTATCACACAAGGAAGTGACTAGACCCATCATACCAGCAAGACTTTGCATGGTGTAATTCCTGTGGCAAAACCTTTGAAATGTGCCATCGTAGTCAATTCTTCATGCATGTGAATAAATATCCTTTCCCCTCCCTTCCTAAAGTGCATAATACTTAATACTCTCAAGTTCACTCTTTTAAAGATAAATATTTAAAAGAAATACCAATTCAATTCATTGCTCTTCAGCATTGGCTTTACTAAGAGTCATCGAATTATAATATAGATGTTAATACTTTTTCTTTGTTTATGAGGGAGGCACAAACTAGAATTTGGAGTTCCATCCAGATATATGAATGAATTAAAAATTAGGTCAAATAAGGAAAGGAATCAATGAATAGATAACATGTTTAGAATAGCACCTGTCACAGGGGCTGCGGTTGTTGCTCAGTGGTAGAGCACCTGCCTTGTACATGTGAGGTACTGGGTTTCATCCTCAGCACCACATTAAAAAAAAAAAAAAAACTAAGTAAATAAAGCAAAGGTATAAAAGAAATAGGACCTGGCACATAGTAAGCATTCATTAAATATTTGCTGGTGGATGAATGAATTATATTCAATTTTCAAACAAGAACATTTATTATAAACAAGTAGCCTGAAATATGTGAGCTATGCTTCCTCCCATCTCTGATTTTTGTCTTATAACCTATTCCTTATAAAGTCACATCACCACCCAACAGTTATTAAGTATTGACCTACTGTAGGTTAAAAATCTGTGACTCTTTATAAAACTAATATTCAAATATATTTCCTTTCATTTTTATTCAGATTATAGAAAGTGTTTTAGTCAGCTCTCGTCACTGTGACCAAAAGATCTGAATGTCTGATTACAACTTAGAGGACAAAAAGTTGATTATGGTTTACAGTTTCAGAGGTTTACTCCATAGTTGTCTGGACTCCATTGCTCTGGGCCCAAGGTGAGGCAGAACATCTGTTGGAAGGGTGTGACAGAGGAATGCAGCTCAGCTCATGACAACCAGAAAGCAGAGAAATCTTGAGTGCAAGGAAGCAGGGATATTGTAATCCCCATCGGTACATCCCTCAGTGATCTATTTCTTCCAGCCACACCCACTTGCCTATAGTTACCACCCATTAATCCATTAAAAATCATTAATCCATCAAATGAATTACGCTACTGATTAGGTTGCAGTTCTAATAATCGAATCATTTTACCTCTGAACATTCCTGCATTGTCTCATACATGAGCTTTCAGGGGACACCTCCTATCCAAATCATAACAAAGATTTCTCAAAGAACCTTTAATATAATTCAACAAAATAATTTTTGATTTTCATATAAAACTCTCAGGCTTGACTTCCATGGTAGATCTTTCCTGCAAGTTGCCGTGGGAGAAAAACAGACACAGAGCTAGTGAGCTGATGCTCCCTGAAATGAATGCTTCCAGTAATCATAAAGGGCATCTCAGGGCATCAGGACTGCCAGCCTTTTCTAATGAAATCTTAGCGGCTAGATAATCGCTGTCACATACAATGGCCTCCCACTTTCAGAGGGGCTTGAATATTGGTAATAACAAGGAAAAACATGGGTCCTTTTGCAGAGACATCCCATGACATCAGGGAATATGCCCCTCCATTAACAGG